AAAACAAGGAAGCTTACAATTCTTTACAGAATTTGTCAGCACTTGCCTTTAGATCTTTCGTGTAGAAAATTCGAGTCTCCTCATTGGTAAAGGACTTTGGCACCAGATCCTTCAGCTGAAAAAGTGTGCTTAGTGGTCAACAGGTATCATCTTTAGCTCTAAATCGAGACAGTAAATACTGAAAACGTCAAGCATGGCTCAAAGGTAACACTTCACAAGTCGGTTACTTGCTGAGTCCCTAAGGCAGATTATTGGTAACGGAAGACCGTGCCCAACATTAGTGCTCAAATGTCGTTTAGGAATTGATCGCCTAAGCAACATACAGCCTGTTAAACTGGAGTCGATAAGTAACAACGTGGGAGTGACCTGAAATCCCAATGGGGGAGATTTCGGTAATTTGAAGAAACTTTTGTTTATGGGTGAGGACAAGCAGCTTAGTCCTTTCTAATGTCTGCTAATGAAAGTTTGAGCAACATTCTGCCGGAAGGATTGCCCAATTGCCGTAGTAGCTCTTTTCTCAGACTGATCATAATTCAGAATTCAAAACTAAACCTTCTCATAGCTCGACCTAAGACTTACGCTGAGCAACCCTCGCATTGAATAGCACTGTCAAGCAATGCAAAAGACGGTTGAATAAACACGTCTTCACCACTTATGTTACGGGTCTACGTCTCGTTACCTGCATCTTATAACGCTCGAAATTGAATGAGCTAACGTTTGTGGATTTGTATTGGTCGCTGGACGGAAATAAACACCTTTGTCCTGTCTTAAAGTGCCCTGGAATCCTTACAGTTCTCGCCTAGTCACGGCATTCTCAATAAGCACAGATCAGTGCGGCATATTAGGAGGATTGTGTCATTACACAGATAAAAAACAACGCAGATTGCAGCTCAGCCTTTCTGATCCGGTGACAGAGAGTCATGTCCTGTGTTCATCTTCGAACGACAACGGGTTAATCCCGGGACTCCCCCCCCCCCCGACTCTACGTACGTCAGCCCACACAAGGATGGGAACTTTGCTGAAAAATTGTTCGTCAGCCGCTTCGAGTACCATCTTTGTCTCAATGGGTAGTGTCGACTCCCGCGTAAATTATGCAGCATCGAGCTAGCCCTATCCTTTCATGCATCTCGTGTTTCGGTGGTAGGAAAAAGTAGAAAGGACATCAATGACTGGCGCAGCATTTAAGCGCCGTTCAGAGTGCCTCACACGCACTAGGTACTAAAATCCCACAAACCAGACTCAGAGTTAAGAACGATGGGAGTTGTCACTAGACCACAGTAAGAAGGAAGCATGGCAACCTGACAACTATTTCAGGCGGAGGATCGCATATCCCCAACTCAAAGCGATCTGGGCATGCATGCAGCGCTTACGATCCACAAGTTTCGTCTGATACACTAATCAAATGAACTTCCGCCCACTGAAATTTGTCCCACATTGTTAGGTAAAAACGTGACAGCTGGGAAACGTGGCAGCGTAACTAAGTCAGAGGGTTTCACCTTGATAAACAAAAGTGGAATCTAAGTGCTTAGGACTGGGGTAATTGTTAAAACAAGGAGGGATTAGGCTTGACCAACCTACCCAGTTTACGGAGTATCCAGTAATAATGATAAGAATAATGTTCAAGAGAGTGAGACAGAAGGAGACTGTGCCCAGAAGGGCAAACTCTGTGGGCGCCTCACATAAATTATCCACGTAGATCAGAGAGTAGTCTTGTATCCACCAGTAATCACAGTATACCGTCGTTGCGTTGTGTAATTTAGAAGCTTCTAAGGCCGTAGTAGTTTTCTAAAAGGATGAAAGTACAGCTTAGATCAGAGGTTTCCTCAAAGTGTTGTAGCGGCTCAAACACCGGGGGGGGGGGGGGGGGGGGGGGGGGTTGAGGGAACCTTTCTGTGCCACCACGCGTTCCCACGCATTCGATGCGAAATGGGCTAGGCAGACTTACTATTCAGAAGACTAGCAGACAACAATTACACGGGAGCATAAGCATGAAATTGGACGGAGGAAAGAGTGAGGAAGAAGGTCCGATGAGAGGCATGAAGCATCAATTAAAATCACCAAATACGCTTTTTAGTAGAAACGATTACCTAAGTGAGGTTGCAAAAGCAGTTAGCCTAGAACATACTTTCGTGGGAATTTGTCTACGACGAAATTTTCGTTTTTGCTGGGAAGCATCCCAAGCGCCCGTACAAATCACTTTCGGAAGAAAGCACTTCTAGATTAATGCGCACTTTCCGCATTTATTTTTAATGTTTCTTTTGAATTCAATGAAGAGTAACATTTCTGATAGTCACAGATCTGCTCAGTCACTAACGAAGTATGCAAAATGGCGTGGCTGTATGCAAGTACATTTGGATGCCAGGAGTTCTACTGATGGGCACACTATGATAAATATGAAATTTCATCGAGAAACAAGGCGTACCACGTCGTTCAGAAATAATAGGATGGCATAGAAATGACTGCCGTAAGTCTCTTCTGAGGAGTACCATAGCGGCTGCAAAAACAGCCGAAGTTGACGGACTAAACAGAACCGAAATAACAAATTTTTTGCCTGAGTGGATGCTGGCTGATAATCACAGTTATTACTGATCGAAACCCAACAGGTTACCTTATGTGAGTTTATTAGTGATTGTGCTCAGAGGCAAGGCCGCCTGACTGAGTAATAGGCCTTCTTTGCGATTTAAACATAAGAAAATAGCGATTAGTCGTGTAGTTCCGCATGTATGCTTGGAAAACGAGATTTCACAGCTTCGGCGATAAGTTGTTACATGGCTGTCTACTTATCGATTGTTTAGAAGGCAGTTGTCCTTTTTTCGTTGACATAACCCCGACACCAAACGAGCAATAGTTTTCCAAATGTTCAAAAAAATTGATTGTACAACAGTAATTTTCACCAACGATCATTTTCCATCTAGCATTAAGCATATTGATCTAACTCGTAATCGCAAGTAAGTCAACTTGCCTCAAACGTTTGTCTCATCGAAGGGTCTGAGCCGTCTTTAAGTCAAAAAATCACCTTATTCAAAGATATATTATGCATTGCTCAATAAGCCACCGAAACAAACGTGCTATATCAGGAATAAGGTTTCCTTGTGGCTAGAATCAGTTGGAGTTCGCTGGAAGTGTGACACTGAAAGTTATGAAAATATGGAAACCAATGTCCCAACGACATCCAGTCTTTGAAAATATTATGAAGCTCGTTAGACGCATTCTATCGGGACGCTATGGAGGGGGAGAGGGCAGGACAGCTTGATGGACGATCTGCGGGTACACGCATCCTGAAACGCCATCGTCAAGTGTCGTGATGAGCCTGCAGATCGACCACGCATGCGGCGGTGAGACCCCCAACGCATTACTATGACTCAGTGCCGCTCGCCTCAACGATTAACTGACCCCAGCCGGCGCAGCGAGACTTCAAATCCCGGAAGCAAGGCTGCGGAGCTGATAGAACGTGGGACGGCCGATGCCCCCTACCACTGTCAGGCGCCTGAGAGACAGCGACACACAATGTAACACTATATATTCAATGGTTTACGGAAGCACTGCACGCATTGGGCGGAAATGGTGGTTACGACAGAGCGAAGGACGCAGTAGTTCTTATCTAAACCGGCGCAGTCCGGCTCGGATAGGCGTGTTACAGGTTAGCTTTTTCGGAAAAACTGCCAAGCAGGCCGGCTTTTCACGCAGCAGAATTGCATGTTTGTCAGTTCTAGTTCTCGAAGGCTAACAGGAGCCCCTAGTTCGAGCAAACAGCAATAACGAAACAGAAGGCAGTTATGGAACATTTTGACCACTATCCAGATGAACCAAGCGATGTTACGGAAACTAAAAAGTGTTTCTAGTGCTCGAGCAGTTTTTCACGTTCATATTCTTTCAGTCACCGTAAACTCCAATGTTCGCTTTTATTCACGGAAAATAATAATTTTTTTAATTGAACAGCGCCTGACCAAACACTTCACATGCCCAACCGATTAATGACAGCATGAAGTCAGGACGATCTGTTGTGCCATTATCTCCGTCCTACTTAATGAATTTCTCAAGTTCCTTAGCGCAGCCTACTTGCAGTAGTCTAGGGAATAACTTTTCTGTAATCCCCAGCAGAAAAGCCCTAATCGTTTAGTCCACAATGGAAACGAAGACAGACAGTCAACTCCCTTTTCTTGATGCCCTCCAGCACCGGTCGGCATTTGATGAGTTGCAACCTACGGGATTCAGAAAAGTCACTGCCACAAGGTGTATGCTTGACCGTCACAGTTATCACTCCCCGACTAGCAAACAAAGCTGTGTTAGCATGCACTTTCAAAGAGTTTAAACGCACTGCAGTACAGTAGACGAAGAGCAGGTAGATAGACTCTGCCTCCGGAGTGACTGGAAACCATATGAATTTTGTGCAACAAAAATTATTGCACAAGAGGGGCAACGACTAACAAAATAATCAGGAGGAGTGATGAAGGTCATCACCTATATCAAAGGTCTTGTAATGGAGGTCAATCGACATCAGGGTGGACATCGCTGATAGATTCCAGGGCACAACGCATGACCGTGCGACGGGACCGAAGGATTCTTTGCTGCTTGCTGAAACCTCAACATTTGTTGATAAGACCAGTCTTGAGACGGCGACTGCAACTGCATTGGGGAGACTTCACGAAGGCTTCAAATTCATATGCGCTAACAGCGGGGGTCGGATCCCACACAACAACTCGCAAAACCAGTGGAGACCCACTCGAAATCCATGCAAAACTCGCTTCAATTTTTGCACAGCACAGGTTTTTGCAACGGGCGACAAACCCAGTTATCTACAAAGCCCGCTCCTTAATTAACTCGTCTCACAGATACCGCCTTCCTTCTTGGATCACCACGTCGGAATACCTAACTCGGCTTGCTAGCCAATCTACTATAAAGTTCAACGCTATACCAGTGGGGCATGAGCCCACTGTCCTTTCGGTTATGAGTAGAAATATTAATTATGGTGAAGGTGCGTTCATCAATCAGGTTGCGAGATATATTCGTCCCACTGCACATAACGGCAAACATTTATGCGGACAAATCCCATGTCCAGAAAACCTGGGGTTGTTAAGGCTGGCTGAAGACACCTAAAAAGACGGAAATGGACATTTCAATCTCTATTGTCTCTGTCGTTACTCCCCCATCTGCATGTAATTTACAGTGACTGACCGATCTCATTAAATGTTGGCAGAAATTCCGAAATGTGTTTTCGATTAGGAAGGTTTACTCAGGTGGAGTTGAAACTTTCATTATCATGGGACATAGTCCTTGTGTATTTCGGACTCGGCAGGATGTGAGATTTCGAATGCTCCACATTTTAATCTTCTGTAGAAACCGCACTCGGTAAAAAAATGACGACTTAAACAGCATGCATCTTTTACAATGATTTTCGATGGTCTTGAAAATTCAAATATATTTTATAGAAACCTCAAACAAAAATATGCTTTCCTTCAGTCGTTTGATAGAGAATCACATCTTCTTTATATTTTAAACTGAAAAGGGGGTATAATTAGGTTTTAAAAATGTTTCTAATTCCCGAATAATTTGGAGCCTGATCAGCCGTTGCATTGGCGCTTAGTGATTTCATTCTACAAGGTACATGCGTTCCCCATTAAGAAAATCACATACTCTTCTATGCCTTTAAAACGATACTATATAGGGTACATAAAATGTTGCAATGGATGCGGATTTTGTTTTAAATTTCATTAGGAGCAGTGGTAAACAGACAGGTACGATGCTGTATGAATAGACATTGTGCGGTCTTGAAAAATCTCATAATTAGAAACTTTTTGAAACCTAGTTATACCCCTTCTTCGAGCATAATTATATAAAGACGGCTTTATTCTTTATCAAAAGACTGAAAGAAAGTATATTTTTGTTCGTGGTTTCTATAAAATATGTTTGAATTTGCAGGGCCATCGAAAATCAATATGAAAAATACATGCTAGTTAAGTAGTCGTTTCTCATCGAATACGATTTCTACATGAGATTTAAAAGCAGTGCATTCAAAAGCCGACGTCCTGCCGAGTCCGAAATATTATAGTATTATGCCGTAAGAAAATGAGTTTTGCAACCGCGCTTACGTAATCCTTTTTAATCGAAAACACATTTCAGAATTTCAGCCAATATTTCATGAGATCGGTCACTCACTGTATGTTTGTATATGGAGGGTGTGAGCACAGGCATTCTCACTAGACGAACCGGTTTACCAAATGCGACAATTTCAGCTTTCTCGAATTACTTGTGGCAACTTACAGAGAGTCGTGATGGTATTTTCGAAATGTTCTTCAATATTTATATGATATGTGGTATTGTAAAAAATAATACTCCTGGCTCACTAAAATTATGGATTAGGGAAAACTTTTGGGAAATCGTAAACTCAAAAGCCACAACATTCTGGCAAGTTCTTAAACGTTAAAGTCCGTGTTAATTCTTCTGACGAAAACGACAGAGATTACCGCTTTCCCAGGAAAAGAGTGGTGAGTTACGCATGAATTTTCTTACAGTTAGGAGACCGAGACGGCATTGCTTTCACTCTCTCCACCCCAACCATAAGGATCCAACGATAAGGCAAGGTCAAGACCACTTTGGATGGGGGGGTATATGCTAATCGGTGTAGCTAAATCCATATCTAGACGTAGCATAGAAAAGACGGTCCTTATATGCACGAAAACTACAGTCCCAAAAGGGTGGTGTTCTGGAAGCAGATACTTTCATGGTTGGCAAATGGCGGATACTCCGACCCTCCTCCTCCTGTGGTGGCTGGCCCTATCTGAGGTCCTTGTTAAAAGTGTTATATTCACGAGCTTCCAGCTGACAAAGTCTGGCTCGTGTGAAACGATCGCAGAGTACTTGTGCGACATATGGAACAAGGAGGCCTTGTGCCGGACCAGCCAGTCCGTCTACGCCTGTCTACAGTCGTGTCTACTTCGCCTTGCCATTGGAAGACGATGAGTACCATGAGTCTTCTCCACCTGCCTGTAAGCTGACCCTGCTGTCCTCCAGTGAACGCACCGTCGACTTTACCTTCTTACGTTTTCGTGTCTATTTTGTTCTTTCACACGAACATTTGCGGCTTAAAAAATGAGACTGCAACTCTTCAGCAAACAGTCCTGACTCCAGCACTCCCCATACTCAGGAGATTCCTCCCAAAAATACTTAACTGCACATTTATAACGCGTTTGAAAAGTCCAATTTCATCTTTTTACTGATAAGATGTCGATGAAGAACCCGCTCTACCGATTGCTGCTAGAGCTTCTACATTTCGAAAGACGCATTTGTACAAAAAAGAGCTGAGAAGACAATAACTAACACAAAAACTGAACAAAATACCACCGTAGGGGCTTTTTCTGGTGCATTAAGACGTAAGAGGAAGCAGGCGTGATTCTTGACATTGAGAAGGACATTTTAGCTAATGTCCAGGAGACGCTATTAAAGGCTCATTTAAAACATTAACAGGCGGCATTGGCTTAAGCAAGTGCCGCAACAGTGTGGGTTGAAACAGGTGAAAAGTGGTACAGGCACCAGCTGACGCCCCTAGGGATAATATTTTATTTGTAAACAAAATCAGTGAACGAGACTTGCCATGACGTAGGGCCTGTCCAGACGTGCCAACACAGAAAGCAGCAAAAATTGGCCCTGTGGTTAGGAAGTAAAAAACATAAGCAATAGATTAATGTAGCCATCAAGGACAGTGAGGACTAGAGTCATCGTCATCAGCGAGCCATAACCCCCTTCAGGAAGGGAAGGACCCTCGTCACGGATTACAAAGCTTTATCAACTGATTAGCGGGCTCACGCTGGGCCGGCTGCGACCCACACTATTCACTGATCGGACCTGACTGCAATAAGAAATATGGGCGATCACTTTTGCCTTTGGGTTCCGGCCTCGAGCCTTTCATGCAGTCCCAAAGAGGCGAATGATCAGTTTCCGGTAGGAAGTACAGAGAAATGACTGGAAATGGCCGTTCCAGTAAATCTCGTCTTTGTAGATATTATCTCCAGATAACTAACAGGATGTCCCCTACAATTGCTCCGTAAGGGCGATAAGTGTTCCAAAAGGGAACGCTCACACTTTCTTTTGCAATCAGGCCAGGTCGATGAAAGCCACTTTCTCAAGTCCTAAAAAATGTAGGTGATCGAGTCCGCCTGTTAATCGTTTCCCTTCAATGTAGAGTTTAGTCTATGGAGGGGTTAATTTGGAGTATCCAGATAAACAGTAGACGAGCAACGCATGAAAAAAATACCTTTCAAACTAATTTCATGCTTACTGTTTACTAGAGTTCACTGTAGGCATTACCGTTTTGATTCTGGTCTTTATCAATCGGGTAATCGTTAAGCGTTAGTTGATCTTATTTTACACTGCCAGATAGTCTGAAGTATAGGTTATATCCGGTTATAGTTCGTAGGGACTGGCATTTGCTTCAAGCTCCTCAGTATACAGACAAATCAAAAATGATTATTTTACACATTGGGGCATGTGAAGAGAAAGGAGTGGTTCCACAGTAAGTCATTGACTAAGGCCTACGGCAAATCAAAGCCCTGTGGCTCTTTCTTTAAAGGAACAAACTTTAATCAACATTAACCTCCAGGCATGCCTTGCACATACATTTAACATTAAGAACGAATTGGAAATCTAGTAGTTGCTTGGTCGGTAAGTAGATACTCGTATCGAATTTACCGCCTTTTTACACCTGAATCATGTCTCTCAGTCAACCCTGCGTGACATACTGCAGGACAGTTTTAATTGAAAGACTTCAGTAGTATGCTTACATCTACCTATGACGCTGATGATCGCGGCGACGATGACAGCGACGAAAATGTGTACTAGTTAGAATGAATGCGCCTGCAGTGTCTGACCTGCGGCTTGTCCCACCCAAGCATTCATTAACAAGCCCGAATAAGTTTTACTTTAGAGTTAGATGGCAGTAAAATTCACGAAATCGTGTAGTCGTGGCAGGTCGACGCAACAGTGAACAGCAATCAATGCTCGATACATGTTATCAACAAATTTCCCAACCCAGTCTCCCTTGCCATTTTCGGTGACAATTCCACCAATCTCATTTTGCCAATAAAAATGCTCTGTACATTGAGGCAAAGGGGGAGTGGATGGATACGGAGTCGTCTCTACATTTTCAGCACCCTTTTATCTTGTCGCATACAGCATCCAGGTTGAAAACGATATCTCACACCTAAACAGCCTGGAGTCTAGTGAGTAGCAATGAGTCAAACTGACTACGTGGTGCCGCTGCGATGAACAGGGGAGACAGGTCAGGGTCCGGTTCGCGTTAGTGGACAGCGCACCCATAATAATTGCCATACATGGGTGTGGTGGCACGTCAGGGCGCAGGCTTTCGCCGCATCATCCACCTGAGTCCGATCGCATCTCCGGTCTTCTTGACTCACTTCCGATAACATGCTCAGGTGAGAGAGTGGAGGGTGCGGTAGACCCAGCGCAAGTCACCGTCCCTGCGCCCACGCGCTCTGTGGCACACGGTGGACATAGCCAGAAACGCTGGTCGAACTATCGTCATGAAATTGAAAAGGATACCTCGGCTAACAAGGGGGTTGTATGTGTCGTGAGTCTGGGATGCGATTAAATCGCTATGTCGAAAGAATGATGTTTGTATGCAAATCTCGAACTTAAAGAAAGGGAGTGAATAATAAAGTGGGAGAACGACAGCTTACACAATTCACAGCTGGGGGAAGAAGAGATAGGGAAATTGCGTTTCCGATCATGGCAGCCAGGCTGTTTGAGAGGATAGCAAAGGAGATGCTGACACCGGAGGCGGCAGCGACGACCACCGAACCGATGAGCGATTTGGCGTAGCCTCTGTAACCGTCCAGGGGAAACCAAGGAAGGAGTAAGCATGGTTAAAGATAACTGCGGTTGCTTTATTACTTAAGAGACGCGTATTCAATGAGGATATAAGACAATGGCTCACCTGCTTATCATTTCGCCCGTTGGGTAGGGAAAGGTATCCTGGAAAATACTGATGTAGTGGGCCGCTATGCCAAACGTCAGCCCTGTTAACGGCAAACAAATAAATTAATATCCGCACATACATTTATGTAAGCAATCCCTACCAAACCATAGGGCATAAAGACGCCATATCAGCGTGATGAGACGCGCTGCAGCTAGTTTGTAGACGAGGTTGTCGAGTTGCAGTGCTACGACCAGTGCTCAGAGCTAACAGCTATCCGTACAGCTTCGTCAGCCAGTGTGTGCACGAACGAGACTGGAAACCAAGCATTAACCGCGCCAAATTTTGCGAATGCTCCAGCATGTCAAGAGCGTCTCAGAAGCGGGCAACCGTTTCCTCGTGTCGCTTGAAATTGTGATTGTACGCAGATCAGAGGCAATTATCACAAGCCAGGTAATGAGACCGAAAGATTTCCCATCCCTACATCACCCCAATGGCAATAGGCAACAAGTGCTTAACACTCGGAAGACAAGGTATCATGGAGGGAGCGCACTGTTAACGAAAATTACAGTTTAACAATCCAAAGTTGCATCAGTCTTTGGGTGGATCCAAGTTTCACTTACAGAATCCAAAGACTATTTTGAGTCTTTTAGCTTTCAAATGATAATATATCAACGTCATCACTAGCTGTTAATTTTGATCTAACCCAGTTGCAGTGGCTCGAAAAGTCTTCCAGCGCAGTAAAATAAAAAACTTGACCATACAGCCGAATAGGGTGGCACTTAATCTTCTACTTTACTAAGGGAAGCAGGAACCATCCAACACTTTAACTTCCATACTGGTGTACATAAAACCTTAGAGTAATCAATCGGGCTGTCACAACATAAGTATTATTATTGGTCACCTACACTAACAAGTTACAATTCTCTCGTGTTCTCGGTCTTCTCAATATTTTCTGTTGAATTTACTCGATCTGACAATCGAAATCCTGAAATTTTAGGTTCATGCTCGTCGTTACCCGAAATCAGATTGTTCAGTGTAGCCGTATTGCTCAAATGGCTAGAATGGAGTTCTCATCAAGGATGTTTTTTGGATCAGGCTGCCCTATGGTGCACAAATGAAGGTAGTTTGTGAGAATAGGGTCAAAAAGTCTCCCAGCTGATAAAGGCCACTTTTTCTAAGCCCCAGATAATGAAATCTTCTACCTGCGATCACCACCCTACACCGATTCACACCACAAAATGCCAGGGTTTCTTGACGTCTT